GTAGTAGTAGTAGTAGTAGTAGTAGTAGTAGTAGTAGTAGTAGTAGTAGTAGTAGTAGTAGTAGTAGGGGCCTGGGGTTGTTTTTCGGCGGCCCCTGGGCCCAGGAGCGGCGCCCCAAACAAGAACAACAACATACACATTTAAACAAAACCGCATTCCCCCTCTCGCCCTCCTCGCTCGCCCTCTCGGTTTCTGGCGGCGCCTGGGCCGGAAATGCGTTTTTCGGCGGCCCCTGGGCCGACGGGCGGCGCCCCCCAAAAAAAAACGGAGGAACCGAAACAAACCCCTCTCCTCCTCCTCGCCCCCGTCCTCGCGTTTTTCCGCCTAGACATGACATGCCCCTTTTCCTCCTTCTCGCCCCCGCCCTCGTGTTTTTTCGCGGCCCTGGGGCCTGGGGCTGTGTTTTCGGCGGCCCCTGGGCCCAAGGGCGGGGCCCCAAAAGACTGCAACGGAAAAGCGCAAGCAAAACCGCGCCCCCTCCTCGCCGGCGGCGCCAGAAAAAAAACAAAGAACGGCGGGGGCGAACCAATTCCCCCCCCCCCCTCGTCTTCGCCTCCGCCCTCGCGGTTGTTCGCGGCCACGGGGCCCAGGGCCTTTTTTCTGCGGCCCCTGGGCCCAGGGGCAGATTCGAAGAAAAACGCGAAACATTAAAATGCAAACAAAACCACCCATTTTTCGCCGCCCTCGCCCTCGCGGTCTCTGGCGGCCGCAGGGCCCGACGCGCGATTTTCGGCGGCCCCTGGGCCCGCGGGCGGCGCGAAATATTAGTAAAAACAAAAAACCGCGAGAAGCCGAAACAGTTCCCGCCCCCGCCCTCCTCGCCCCCGCCCTCGCGGCGCGCTGGGAACCCCGCCCCTTCCCGCCGACTCGCGGGGGGGGGGGGGGTCTCTTTCACTTTTTTCCACTGTCTGTGGACCCCCCCCGCGGGCGGCGCGAATGCCGCTTCCGCCGCCGCGAGGGAGGGGCGACGGAGGATCAGTCACTGTCAATGACTTCGGCTTCCAAGGCTGGGACAACATGCGGGAAACACTTGGCGCATTTCCGCTGCAACTCGGGCGGGCAACTCGGGCGGGGCACCCAAGCTCGCCCTCGCCGGGAACGCGCAAATCCGCCGCCGCGCCTCGGGCGCGAAGCGGAGTTCTCTCCACGCTGGCTGAATGGCGGGCTCCCCCACAATAGTCACACGATGGCCCAATGGCGCCAGGACGAGTTCTCCTTCTGTTTGACCTCGTCCTCCTTCGGCTCCTCGTGTTCCTCCTTGTCCTTCTCGTCTTCCATCTCGCCCTCCTCGCCCTCCCCCTCCTCTTCTTCTTCTTCTTCTTCTTCCTCCTCCTCCTCCTTCTCCCCCCCTCTCCCCCCCCCCGTCCTCCTCCTCTCCCCTCCTCCCTCCTCCTCCCCGCCCCCTCCCCAGCCTCCTTCTCCTCCTCCTCCTCCCTCCTCCTCCCCCCTCCTCCTCCTCTCCTCCTCCTCCTCCTCCTCCCCTCCTCTTCTCCTCCTCCTCCTCCTCCTCCTCCTCCTCCTCCTCCTCCTCCTCCTCCTCCTCCTCCTCCTCCCCCTCCTCCTTCTCCTCCTCCCCTCCCCCCCTCCTTACCCCCCCCCCCCCCTCCTCCTCCTCCTCCTCCTTCTCCTCCTTCTCCTCCTCCTCCTCGTCCTCTCCCCCTCTTCGCCCCCCTCCTCGTCCTCCTCGTCCTCCCGTCCTCCTCGCCCTCCTCGTCCTTCCCCCTCCTCGTCCCCCTCGCCCCCGTCCTCCTCCTCCTCTTCCTTCTCGTCCTCCTCCTCCTAGTCCTCCTCCTCCTCCTCCTCGTCCTGCTCCTCCTCCCGCTCCTCCTCCGCCTCCTCCTCCTCCTGCCGTTGCTGCTGCTGCTGCTTCTGCTGCTGCTGCTGGCCCTCCCCCCACCTCGCCCCCCCCTCGTCGTCGCCGACGGCGATTCGCCGGAGGCGTCCTAGATAGACAGCCACACTTCGAACACTCTTCGGTGTCGGAGCTGCTGGGGCTCGCGGGATCTTTGGGCCCGACCCCGCGCGCCGCCCGATGCCACGGAGTTCGGCGGAAAATCCAACCCGGCGCCCAGTCGCCGTCGGGCGCCTCCATCCTTGCCAAGATCCGGCGGGCCTCCGCGGGGTCGAACTGGTAGGGGTCGACCTGGTCGGGGCCCTCGCCCGCGGCCGCTCCCCCGCGGGGCGCCGCCCTCATCCTTTTGCCCGCGCGGGCCTCTGCGCCCGCCGCTTCGGGCGGCGCCTCGGGGGCAGCTCGGCGCCGCGGCAGCCCGGCGGCAGCTGCGCGCCCCAGCGGCGCGGCCGCGCCCGCCGCCCCAGCGAGGGCTTCTGAAAGGAGGCCACTAAGAGGGCTTCTGTAAGGAGGCCACTAAGGGCTTCTGTAAGGAGCTCAAAATGTGTCCAGATGGGTCTTCACCCCGGAACGGTTCCAGGGTGATTCCGGAACCTGAAACGGTCAGTGTCAAGTTTCCAGAATCACCCCGGAACGGTTCCAGGTGATTCCGGAACCTGAAACAGAGGATTTTCTCCTCCTCCTCCTCCTCCTCCTCCTCCTCCTCCTCCTCCTTCCCCTCAGGGCCTGTTCTCCATGCCGCCGTCGTTTGCTGGCGGCCCCGAGGCCCGGCGAGTGCCCAATTGGAGGCTCAGAGCAGCACACCGAAACGCCCGTCGTGACTTTTGCTTCTACCACGCGCGCCTCCGCGGCGAACGGTTGAGAGGGAGGGAGGACCGGAGAGCCCCCCGATGTGGACGCCCGAGATGGGTACGGAAAGAATGGGTACAATGCCCAACAACAACTGTTGTCCCAAACCAACAGCGGCCGCTGTTGGGCAGGCGGCCTTCCGTCTCGAATGGACACAGGCCGCGGCGGCGTGGACAGCGAGTCCTGTTCGAAATGAACAAGATCCGCTGTTGGGCACTGCACCCGTTCTCTCCGTGCCCGTTCCGTGCGTGGAGGCCCGGAGGCCTCGAGGCCTCCCGACTTCGCAGCGCCGCAGCCCCGAAGGCCTCGAGGCCCCGAAGGCCTCGAGGCCCCTCGAAGCCTCCTCGAGGCTTCGAGGCCCCGAAGCTCGAGGCCCCTCGAAGCCTCGAGGCCCCGAAGCTCGAGGCCCCTCGAGGCCTCGAGGCCCCGAAGCTCGAGGCCCCTCGAAGCCTCGAGGCCCCGAAGCTCGAGGCCCCTCGAAGCCTCGAGGCCCCGAAGCTCGAGGCCCCTCGAAGCCGCCTCGACGCCTCGGCGCCTCGCAGCCCCCACGCTGCCCCCCGAGGGGGGCCGCGCGCGCCCCCCGAGCCGCGCGGGGCGGCCGACGTCGGCGAGGCGGGGCCTCCCTCCGGCGATGGCGTCGGTCGGCGAGGCGTCGGCCGGCGTCGCGGCGGTGCAGCGGCGGCGTCGGCGACGAGGACGGGGAGGGGGGGCGGGGAGCAGCGAGGAGAGGGGGGGGGAGCAGCGAGGAGAGGGGGAGGGGAGCGGCGAGGGGAGGGGGAGGGAGAGCGAGGGGAGGGGAGGGGGCAGCGAGGAGAGGGGAGGGGAGCAGCGAGGAAGGGGGAGGGGAAGCAGCGGGGAGGGGGGGAGCGGAGCAGCGAGGGAGGGGGAGGGGAGCGGCGGGGAGGGGGGGAGGGGGTTGCCGGGGCCCGATGGCCTGCCTGCCCTCGAAGGCAGGCAGTGCCTGCGGTCAGCCGTCGAGGCCCGGCCAGCTCAGTCGTCGGTGCAGCAGACAGTGGGCAGCGAATTCGCATGCACAGCGCCGAGAGGAGGAGGAGGAGGAGGAGGAGGAGGAGGAGGAGGAGGAGGAGGAGGAGGAGGAGGAGGAGGAGGAGGAGGAGAAGAGGTGGGAGGAGGAGGAGGAGGAGGGGAGGAGGAGGAGGAGCAGGAGCAGCAGGAGCAGGAGGAGCAGGAGGAGCAGGCCAGGGAGGAGCAGAAGAAGCAGCCGATGGTCCATGACGGCAGAAGGAGAAGGAGAGAAGCTCCCCCCTTCTTCGGAAGTGGAGGGCTCCGAAGGCACCTGTCGCGTTGACAGATCCGCCCGCAGCATCGAGCATCTGGCATCGAGGAGGAGGAGGAAGATGATGATGATGATGATGATGATGATGATGATGATGATGATGATGATGATGAGGAGGAGGAGGAGGAGGAGGAGGAGGAGGAGGAGGAGGAGTAGGAGGGAGGAGGAGGGAGAAGGACAAGTGTAAAACCAAGATGACTCAATGGTGTTGTAATCCACCCTCCCTCCAAGCTCCCTCATCATAGGCCCCTACAAGACTTTACGTCATTGAGGAACGTGCCCTGTTAGAAGACAACCAACCGAGAACCCTGCATAGTGCCAAAACACCATTTCTGGGACATCAGCGCCGCGAACCAACGTGACGGTTGCGTCCTGAAAGTCCGAGATCGCGCCAGGACACAATTCGCGGGACTGCAACGCTGCGCATCGGTGTGACTGCTGCGTCCCGACAGTCCTCGGTCGTGCCAGAACACCAACGCCGGGATTTCAACCACACGAATCCCCGACACCCTGGCAGCCTTTTCCAGCGCTAAGCGCGCGCCCTGGAAGCGGATGCGAACCTTTTCACCGACTGTGCGACGCGGAGAATCGAGGGGGCACAAGGGTGGGGTGGGGGCCAAGGTGGGGCGGGAGGGAAAAGTGCTCCCGACGGCCCCTGGAAGACGTATAAGCGCGCTGAAACGAGACCATCCGGCTGGGCCCGTTCCCCCGCCGCACCCTGGGATGAGCCTCCACCTACGAGCCCCCGAGGAAAGCGAGAGCGACGATTTGAAGCCGGCCCGCCCTTCATCTCTGAAGCTGCTGCAATGTTTTGAGGCGAGCGCGCGCGCGCACTGAATCGATAACCACATGTTGAAAAAACGGCCCGCCCTCCATCCCTGAATCTGCTGCAAGTTTTCACATGCATGCGCGCGGCGCTGGAAGCGGGAAACACATTTTGAAAACGACCAGCCTACATCCGTGAAACAATTCCACATGAAGTTTGGAAGTGGTGAAGACTTCTCAAGCGAAATGCCCAGCCTGCCCTACCGACACGTCGGGGGGCGCGGTTGGGAGGAGTCGAGACACCCTCTTAGATAGCAAGCCGTTTAGTTCACTCCCACCCGCCCTCCCAACACATAAGTAACACCCGAGCCTCTGCATGTTCAGCGGTCGTCTTTGGATGGACAGCTACTGGGAGCCAAACCCGAGCCCACGTGCGCTACGCTGGGGCGAGGTGCGCCACGCGTGCCAGGCGCGCCACGCGCGCCAGGCACCCCTGGGGCCCGAGCGAGACAGGTGCGCCTGCGCACGTGAAAGTACACCTCGGAACACGTGTCGGCCCCCACCATCCACGTCGAAAACCAGTGCCCATCATTGTGTCTGGTGGGCCTGCGCACAGCAGGCCATACGTCACCACTTGACAATGATCGCGGGGTGGCCCCGCATGATCCAGATTATGCCGCGAGGTACATTGTGTATTGTTTTTGTCAGGGATGGTATCCCTGTGCGCAGCAGGCAATATGCTGACACCCCCGCCGCCCCTGTCAAAAAACAATACCAAGTGCTCGTGGGCCTCACGAACATGATTCTGGACTTTGCCCCAAAATGTACTTTGTATTGTTTTCTGACAGGGATGGTGGGGGGGGGCCCTCATGGGGTTATCATTGTTCATGGTTGGCTGCCGGACGCCTGGGGGAGGGGGTGCATACAAATAGGGAATAGTGATTAATCATACGGAACAATATGGAGGAGGAGGAGGAGGAGGAGGAGGAGGAGGAGGGGCAGGAGGAGGAGGAGGAGGAGTAGAGGGAGGAGGGGAAGAAGAGGAGGAACTGACCTGGCACCGACGTCGACGATCTCCCCCGTCCGCCTCCCGCTCGGCTGCTTGCTTCCTGGCGTTCCTGCCGCACCCTCCTTTTCCTCCTCCTCCTCCTTGAATATCTGCGTCTGTTCGTTGCTTGCTCCTCTTCCTGCTTCCTCCTGCTGCTCCTCCGTCGCCTCCGCCTCCGCCTCCGCCCCCCCCCGTCCTCGTTTCACGGGCCATCCAGTCGCTGCCGCCAGGCTTAGGGAACGGCATCAATGCCGCCAGAGCCCTGTTTATCTTGCTTTCCCCTGTCGCCTCGTCGTTCGTTCCCCCCTTTGTGGTCGCTTCCTCGTCGACGTCGTCGTCGTCGTCCTCTTCCTCCGAATCTGGTGGGCCGGTTGGGTGTTTTCCCTGTGCAGAAGCCGCTTCCAGTATTTCCTGTCGCGAGCTGTAGTTCCTGAGCGAGGGCGTCGCCCACCTGTGGTTCTCACATTCCTCAAAATTCTTTGCCTGCCTCTCTCGTGCTCGCACCAATCGAGGACGAACCGAAATCAATGACGGAATGGCTGCCTGACAATCTGGGACGGCCCCACAGTTGCCAAATGTTCGAGCCCTCGCCTTGTGCATACCAGCTTTACTCTCTTTTTCGCCAGGACAGCTCTCCTTGCAATCGTTTTCCTTGCTCACTGGGCTGCGTCAAAATGGTGCGACCCCTGCTTGCCACCATGTCTGGCGCTTGTTACGGAGGCAACGTATTCTAGCCTGCGCAGGTCTCGCTTTGCGTCCACGATTGTGCGAGTTCGACCGCCTTCACAGGCTCGCGATTTGTTTCGCCCGCCGGGCCATCTCTAGAAGAGGAGGAGGGGGGGAGGGAGGGCAAATCGGGGATCGAAGGAGGACGAGGAGGAGGAGGAGGAGGAGGAGGAGGAGGAGGAAGAGAAGAAGAAGAAGAAGGAGGAGGAGAGGAGGAGGAGGAGGAGGAGGAGGGGGGGAGGGAGTGAGGGAGGCTGAGCAGGCGGCCCAGGCGGACGAGCGAGCCCGTGCCCACGCCGGAACCGACGGCGCCCACGCGAGGGCCAACGCCGTCGCGCTCGCGGGGCAGCTCCGAGTGCTGCGCGCGGCGGGACTCTCGGCCGAAGCCTCCTCCTCCTCCTTTTCCCTCCTCCTCCTCCTCCCCTCCTCCTCCTCCTCCTCCTCCCCCCTCCTCCTCCTCCTCCTCCTCCTCCTTCTCCTCCTCCTCCCCTTCTCCTCCTCCTCCTCCTCCTCCTCCTCCCCCTCCTCCTCCTCCTCCTCTCCTCCTCCTCCTCCTCCTCCTCCTCCTCCTCCTCACCTGTCACGCTCCTTCGAGCGTGTGCCCAGGTCGCGGTGGCGCACCATCCGCGAGCCAACCGCGACCTGCCCCGGGTGGACCAGCTCGACAGTGTGGTCTTCGGCTACCGGGAGGAGTTCCTCGGCCCTGACTCCGGATCCGCCCTACTTTGGGGAAATTCGTAAGTAGGGCTTGGAATTTCCGCCTTACTTTTCAAGCCCCGCTGATGCCAATTTCCGCCCTACTTTTCTGTTGCTGTTTCCGCCCTACTCCTGTGGATTTCCGCCCTATTTTATGCTGGGTGCAGAAATTTCCGCCCTACTTTTTCGGCTTCTTATAGGTGGACTTCCGACGCACTTTTAAGTTGGGGAAAAAAGCCAAAGCAGGGCGGATCTGGAGTCAGGGAGGGCAGCTCGCATAAGGCCACCGGGCGCTGATCACGGACGGCGGGACGTCCTTGGCCCCGGCCCGGGCCACCTCCTCACCACCGCCTGCGGCGAGCTGGGCCCTCGGCCTGAAGGAGGTCGCGCAAGCCGCTGCCGTCGCCGCCTCGTGGGCCGCCGGTCTTCAGGGCCTGCGGGTGGCTCTGGCCGCAGTGTCGCCACCGTCGCCGCCCTGTCGCCGCCCGTTTTCTGGGCCTGCGGGTCGGTCTGGCGGCCGTGTCGTCGACGTCGCCGCCCCGCGGGTGTAGCAACTAACTCTTCAGCACGACATCCAACCGGCGCTATAGCTCGCGCGCGTGCCGTGCGCGGCACACAGGGCGAGAGAGAAGACATCGCGAAGCAGATCCACAACCCCAATCCAGTACAGTCGGGGCGCTGACCTAAGGAACCCTAAATAAGGAACGAGACCCCTTTTTCCCATAAGTTCAACCTCGATTTCCGATGAAAAACCTCAGGAAAACCCGAGGCAAACTTTGAAACAATCAAGGAACACCGAGCCCCTCCCCAACGAAAAGGGTTCCTTCTTCAAGACCCCTACTGTATCGCGAAGCAGATCCCCAACCCCAATCCAGTAAGGTGAAGGCCGATGCTGTACCGTGCAGCGCTGTACCGCCCTAGCCGAGGCGGCGACCCAAGAGCATTGACTCAGCACATCCCCAACGGAAGCATCAACTGCACGCGACGCTACGCCATCGTCGAGCTCAGGAGGAACGACGCAATGCGTCGGCCGCCCACTAATGAGTGTCAACTTTCTAAGCTCAGCGGGGCGACAACGGGATTGATCAGAGGTTGTGCTGGCTACCGCTGGCCCGTTTGCCCGACCAGGTCGGAAGAGCCAGCGTCGAAGCTCGGTGGCCAGCAGCCAGGCGCAGCCAAGCGGGCCGAGGTGCTGGCAATCAGGCAGTTCGGGCTTAGTGGTGTGGACGGGGCGATTCGTCCTCGCCCGCTGCTTTGCTGCTTGGCCCGTCTCTGTCCTCCCCTTCGTGAGCGGAAGGAGGGAGGGAGGGAGGGAAGGGGAGGGGAAGGAGGCTGGAGGAGCAGGAGGAAAAGGGAGGAGGAAGGAGGAGGAGGAGGAAGGAGGGAGGAGGATACAGATTAGGAGGAAGAGGGACATGGGAAACAGGAGGAAGATGATGATGACGATGATGATGAGGACGAGGAGGAGGAGGAGGGGGAGGAGGAGGAGGAGGAGGAGGAGGAGGA